AATTTTCATTTGCGAAGATTTGGTTGATGGCTGCCCAGTTTGAAATACGACAGTTAGATCTTGATCGAGCGCGGCTAATTCTTGGATCGGCAATTGGCAAGGCTCCGAAAGATAAGGTACCACAGTTGTTTGATTACATAATACTTTTTCCTCTTTCTTCTCATGTCTTCACATTGAAGTTGTTTTATTGCTACTTTTTCTTCTGTATAATGTTGTCCTTTTTGCATTTACAAACAGATATTTAAGAAATACATTGAGATAGAGCTGCAACTTGGTAACATTGATCGTTGCCGGAAACTATATCAGAAGTATTTGGAATGGTCACCGGAACACTGTTATGCATGGAGCAAGTATGCCGAGTTGGAAAGATCTCTGGCTGAAACTGAGAGAGCCAGATCTATTTTCGAGCTTGCAATTGACCAACCCGCTTTAGACATGCCAGAGTTGTTGTGGAAGGTATGACATAATTGATCTTCCGTAGTTTCGATACATTGAAAAGATTTCTTGCTGCTACTGTGTGCATGCTTTTGTTTGGAAAATTACTGTTGGCAGCCTGCATTTTGGCCTTTTGGCTGGCTCTGTTGATTTGAAATTGAATTATAGAGCACAATAATTTTTAGGGTCTACTATTCACGCATCTCATTAAAGCAGTCTTAATATTTATCATTTCAAATGTCTGTACCGCAAGATTGAGAATGAATTATTTATTAATTCAAAAGAAACTTTGGTCCGCTCTCGACTAGTTTTGCTGCTGCATTTTCAAGCCTCCCATGAAGTTGAAAATATTGAACTTAAGTATTGAACATCTGGCCTGTTCTGATCAGTCTACCTTTCTATTATTGCTGGAGGCTGTTGGTTTATTACAACACATAAACTCAGTATTTATTTCATGACAGGCGTACATCGACTTTGAGATATCAGAGGGTGAATATGAAAGAACTAGAGCTCTTTATGAGAGGCTTTTAAACCGCACAAAACACTTGAAGGTGTGGATTAGTTATGCCAAATTCGAGGCATCTGCTATGGAAGAGGACTTCCAGGATTCGGATGTGCAAGAAAGTGATAATGAACAGAAGAGAAAATGCCTTCAACGTGTTAGAGGTAAGATAATTTGATGCTAATGCATCCTATTACTAATGACTTGTTATTTTCATCTTAGTAAAATAAAATATTCTCTCTCTCTCATCAGGGGTGTTTGAAAGAGCCCTTAGCTATTTCAGAACTTCTGCACCTGAATTGAAGGAGGAGAGGGCAATGCTCTTGGAAGAGTGGTTGAATCTAGAAAGTAGCTTTGGTGAGCTTGGTAATGTTGATTTGGTCCGTGTTAAGCTTCCAAAGAAACTCAAAAAGAGGAGGCATATCGAAACTGAGGATGGTCCGGCTGGGTATGCTTTCAACTTCCTTTCTCTTTTCCTTAATTCTCTACTCTGAACTTTACTTGATGTCACGTCATCTTCATTTCATTTAGTAGTTTTTACTCTTCTGATTTGTTCTTGTGGACCATGGGAAATACATGTGGGCGCCATTGCACGTTTCTGCTTTTCTTTAGTTTAGTTTCTGTTAACTTTCACAGTTTTGTCACCTTTGAGGTGAAGTTAGTGGTTTTCAACTTACCATATATGGGAAAAGCCCACGTCTTGCTTAGGTGGTTGTATTGATTCCTCAAATATTTTAGAGGTGCTAGCCAGTGACTTGTAAAAGCAAGCCTTGTGTAGTAAAAGAGTATATCTAAGAGCCTCTCTATTTATAAAGAACATCTTATGTATAATAGTGGGCATTTTTAAATTTAGAAGGTATAATAAAGAGCATTTTTAAATTTAAAGGCAAATATTTTTTACACACTCCAACAATTCCCGATTTTGATTCTTCATTTTGCTTTCGCCTAGAAACATTTATTTATGTCAATGGCCAAATAATTCAAATATAATTCGAATAATTTAAGAAATAGAGTATTGAAATCTAGAACTTTTTATATGCAATCATAATAACGTAAGAATAGACAATGGGTTCGGTTCTTCAAATTTAGAGAGCCAAATCCACTCTATATTTTGAAAAGTTAAAATAGAGAGTTTTTTGGAGCTTATTTTTAAGGATTAACTCTTTAAAATAGTGAGCATGTTGTATTTAGAGAGTTTTTTAGAGATGCAAGGATAAGAAATTTGTTGACTAAGTTGAAAATGAACAGATGAGCAAGTTATTGAAAAGATGGGTAGCAAACTCAAGTTTGCCTTCACAGTATAGGCATATCATGTTTGGTGCACGCTACTTTAGGGGATTGACTGTATAGACTATTAGTCGAGATTTTGCCCTCAAAATTTCCTCCAAACAGGGGCAACACTGCAAGTATATAATTTTTTGATTGAATTTGTTCATTCAACCATTCAAAAGTCAAATAATAAGTATAACAGTCTTGCTATATAGCTCGGTGTACAGTCTCCTCACATTGGGGGGCTGTCGATTAAAAAAATGGGCGTGGACCCCCTCTACAGTGAAGGGGCTGTAAGTGTACAGCACCAACAGGTGGTGTACAAGTAGGTTAATTCTAATGATAATAATTAAAAGGACTTCAGTACTCCATTTGAATAAATAATAAAATTAAAATAAAACAAAAACAAAATTAGGTTAAACTATTCTACAAAATGGACCCCACCAAATACAAATCCTATCTACTACCACCCCGAACACCTGCCAACAAAATTTAATGGGTTTTTGACTTTTCTCTTTCTTTGCTATATAAAATTGGGGGAAAAAAAGTGAAGGGCCAAGTTTGCAGAAAAAATGGGTTGGATTGCTGATTTTAACAAAAATGGTAGGCAAAATAGCTTCCATATCTTCTCTTATGGAAAAGTGTGGGGTGTATTACGTGTTGGGAGGGGTCCATTTTAGAGGATGAATTTATTTATTATTATTATTATTTTTTTTTGTCTTCTTTTGTTTTTATTTATTTTAAGTAAAGATAAAGTCACCTCTTTCATTAAAAATAAATGAAAAAAAAAATAGGTATTAACTTTTCAATCTTTCACTTATGGCTGTTTGCCCTCCATTGAAATTTTAATATATGTTTCTCTTTCTTCTTTTCAACCACATTTTCTTCAATAAAATAATATTACACTAAATTCAAAATTTTCCTTCTTTTTAAATCACACATTCTTCAAAAAATAATAATAATAAAATAAAAACTATTCCACAAATACATTTTTCCGTGTAAGTTAATTATAAAGGAGCTTAAACAGGGGCTTCAGTGTGGTTATGGGGTTTCAAATCTATATATTTGCTTCTCTTGTTGAAGTCGTATGTGTTATTGTAATGAGATATGCTACACAAACAAGGTTGATGATAGGGTGACATGTGTCGATCACTAATTGAACAATTTAAAACACATTTGAAATTGAAGACTATTAAGTTTAGTTGTGGATTTAGATCAATCTTTGGTTGGTGTACGATTGGTGATTTTGGTGTTGAAATTGAGCACGATTCAAGGATGGCAACAAGGCAGGTATGGGATGAGCCGGTCATTCCAATCCTCATCATGTCGGATATTTTTGTCACCTTACTCAATCTTCATACCCAATTAAAATAGGACAAAGGCCAGTTCGGAACAAGTCCCCTACAACATTTATCGCCCCGTTTATTTTTTATTTTTTTATGTATTTTATTTTTTGCTTTTATTTTTTTATGTCTTTAGTTAGTAAATACTATTTTTTTTTTCCAATTTGTTAAGAACTTCTCATGTTCCCTTTAAAAATGATGATAAATGTTTTATTTTTATTTGATAAAATATTTAAATTTAAAATTGACTTTAAACGGGGTGAATAGTGAGGCGGGGACTATGTTTCTTGTACCAATCTCGTATCCATTTCAAGGCAATGATCCCACCTTGTCCTCATCGTGTTTATCAGGTTAGGAGGGTAATCTCCGCCACATTCGGAATGAGGCCATGGATATCAGGTTAAGCGAATATTTTTGCCATTTCTAGCTCAATTATTTGCAAGATTTGAAATATTCCACGCAATTGACAAGTAATAATGTGATGAGTTTATGTATTATCCCACATGTAATATATTTTAAATTGAATTGTAATAATTTATTATCAATTCGAATGGTGTAACATAAAAGAGATTTGAAATGTTTTTTTTCAAATTTATTCTATTGTTTTTATCTATTCTCTCGAGATAAATTAAATATATTCTAAGTATGATCTAGTCATATTCTGATTAATGTATTCATGCACACGATTATCAATAAAATTGCACCAATTTATTCCTAACATCTATTGCACTAGTGACTTATTATTATTATTATTATTATTATTATTATTATTATTATTATTATTATTATTATTATTATTTCCTTGTCTGGAAGAGCTTTTATTTCCAATTCTAGCCAAAATGTGACCGTTATACGTATATGTCAAACAAGGCCAACCGCAATTATGGACTATTTTAAGGCTGGATGACCTACTTGCCCCTTAACGTTTAATTCATTCTTTATGAGAGAAGCATTTTTGGCATTTAATTTTGAGACAATCAAAAATTGCGGCCAAAATGGGATCCATGTTCAATTGTATAATAGGAGAAAATTTGCTAAAAATGGGTAAAAAGCTCTCCCAGACAAAGGCTATAATTATAATAATTTATTGTATTCAAAATATATAACAATAATGATACAAATATCGTTCATCAATCTATTTGGCAAATAAAAAAGGGGTAAAATTGGTTTTGCACCATTTGGTGCAAGGTGAATAGTGTCGGTGACCCGACACTAATTTGGTGCTACATCGGAGGCATTTTGCACCAAAAATTGGTGTATTTTGGTGTTTTAGTGTTCCTTTTGGAGATTTCCAAATGTAAGCTTTCAATTTCTTGCTAGGTTACGTAATTGGTGGTAATAATAATAATAATAATTTTTTGGAAAACGCGTGGAAAAAAAAGAATTAAATTATAAATTTACATAATTATTTTTATTGAAAGAATTGAAAATGAATCTTAAACGGCCCTGAAGTACCTCACTACCAGTATTTGAACTCTTGTCTTGCAGAGTGTCAGGCTCTGCAACTTTCCATCTTCTTATTTTGCATCCCACTCTCACACAGACGTACACTTCATCACCTCCATCGTACCAACATCGGGTCACTGTGCAGAAGACATAAAATTATTTTTGCAGATGATTCTCTTTCCCTCTTGAGACGGAGCTTTGGGAAAGATCCTTTTTGTGTGGCTTGAACTGCGATCGACGTATCTATAGTTGGTATAAAATTTTGGATTTCTTCAAGAATCGTAAGTACTCTGCGTCTATTCCATTGTCTTTGTTTTACTTCTTTCTACAGTCAAAATGTTTGCAAAATGGGTACTGTCCTACGTGACATGATCACGAAGGATTACTGGATTAGTCTAATAACTCTAATCTCTCTCTTTTTATTTCTCCCCCTTCTAGCCTTTGATGAAGTTGTGAATAGCTGAGATTTCGGAGGTGACTTTTTTGAAGAGAAATGGAAAAAACGAGTTTAACAGAGCATGAGAGGTTATTTCCGAAAATTAGTTCAAGCTCATCGATTCAGGAGTTAATCAAATTCCTTGAGTACTCGTTTTTGAAAAGCGACTTTGATGAAGTCCAAAACATTTTGACTGATCGCGAGAATAGCATGAAAATGGAGAGAGAGAGTTTTGAAAGCGATCGACGCTCAATAAAAAAAGAATTTGATTTATTGGAGGGCAAGTTGAAAGAAAAAAGTAAAATGATTCTTCAGTTGAATCGGAAGATTGAGGAATTGACGAATCAAAAATTGGGAAGCGAGCAAATCGCAGTGAAGTACGAGGAAAAAATTAAGTCAATGAATGATGAGGTAGAGAAGTTGAATTGTGAAAGATTGGAGGCTGAACAAACTGTAGAAGTGTATAAGAAGAGGTTTGAAGATCTTACTGCAGTGAAATACGAGGAAAAAATTAAGTCCTTGAATGATGAGGTAGAGAAGTTGAAATGTGAAAAATTGGATGCTGATCAGACTGTAGAAGTGTATAAGAAGAGGTTTGAAGATCTTACTGCGAGGTTCGGGAACACAGAGCAGATTCTTGCAAAGATTTTCAAAGTGGGCATAAATGATCTATCGAATCTGGCAAATAACATAGAGAAGGATGATGTTAATTTCTCTACTTCCGATGGCAAAAAGGAGAGTTCGAGGAATGGTGGTAAATGGAGTGGAGGGAACGCTGATTTTGGAAAAGCTAATTTTGACCATTTTCAAAATGAAAGGAGAAGTCTGAACAGTGGGGCTGATGAGGGTGACACATTGTCTATGGCTCACCCTGCTTGTAAATCTAGTGGAACTGGAATTCATGGTTTGCAAGAAAGAGGTACTGTAATATATATGTCAAAATTATGAATTTTCTGAGCTTGTATATTTGTATCTAGAAAAAAGTTGTTTTCGTACACCGATCAGGCTATTAAATGAAGTGTTTGTACATTGCGGTTTTGTTTATTGTTGTGCCCTTATCCGCTATTTGGCAATACTAGATTACTATGTTTCCCGTTTCTACTTTGAAAAGCTGTGTGCTTTCTGATTTGTTTTTCTGGATTAGGCAAGACCAGTTATTAAGACTGGACCTGTCTTGTTAAGATGTTAAATTTGCAATTGCCTTGATATGATTTGTATAAAAAATTTTGGCGCCCTGGATGTATGGAAGGAATGGCATGTGACAATTGACATGATGGTGGCCATAGGTGGCAGGAACTTGGTTCTGTCTTCCCAGACAAAAGAGGCTGGAGCAAATGGCTACGATGTGTCTCAAAGTTCTCCTGGAAAGCAATTTACTGGCGATCCTGGTCAAACTGAAAGTAATGATTCTGATCAAGAAAATGAAAAAGTGTACTTTTCTAATGTCAAATTTGTCCGAGTAAATTATGTGTGCGTGTGCTGCAGGTAGACAAGCTATTATCATGGCCTTCGATCATGGAGAACAAGTCCCAAAGAACTTGAAGTTGACTAGAAGTTGTAGTAAAATGGCAAGATCACTGATATCTGGAGACATCATTGAAATCAGTGACAGTGAAGATGAAGCCACCCCTGAGAAATTTATTCAAAGTCCAACATTAAGTCAAACCAACAAGAAAAACAGAGCAGAATGCAAAGAGAGTTCACTCGTGAGTTCAAAGCCAAAAAGGAAAAGAAGCCCATACGGAAGTGACAATGATGAAAACTTTCCAATTGGTGCACAGCAGGAGAAACAAACACGAGAAGTAAAATATGATGGATCTGGGTCCCTTATGAATATCTCGGTAAATCCTAAATCAGTGGATGCAAATCTTGCACAAACTGTTTTGCCTTCCATGCACAATCCGGTACACTTCAGAAGATGTGAAGAAAAAGCTCAGGCCAAGAGAGATTCTCAAACTCCTTCACAAGTATCTGATGGCACTAATGTCAAGGATTCTACAGATTCAGAAGATGAATCATTTTCAAGCTCCTGCATCAATAATATGGTTTGTTCACTCCAAGTTAAAAAGAAACCTAGAGCCTGGATGTTTGGAGCTGACATGCTCAAGGACTTTGAGGAGGATCCAAAACTTTGCCTGAATGCTGTCTGTGCACTTCATCGACAGCAAATATCTGCAGCAAAATCCAACGTTGGTTTCCCGAGTGGAGTATTAGGCCACAGAGATGTATTGAGGTATAGCTATCATGACAGACACGCCAACCTTCCTTTTCTTTATTAATTGTTTGCATTGTTGTCAAAGTAGTTTGCTATTTATAATTTGAATTTTCTAAATCTATGTCTTAAGAATGATAGTTTTAGAAGTTTATCTGCTATAATATATCTTATATTCTAATTCAGCTGTTTTCCTTTCTTATGAAGTACAAGTTGTTCCAAATTAGTCATTGAGCTTCCATCTTCATTTCTGTTTAAGCACTTTGTCTATCAGCCTGCTAATGTAACGGAAATTTGGTTCTAGTGATGACAATTAGGGTGTGGGAGAGGGGGCTGCAGGGGTTCGGTAAGAAAGTTAAAGCCCATGTTTGATCCCATTCTTTAAAAACTCATTTCTAGCCACGCATTTTCCCAATGAAGTAATTTTACACATAAATCTAAAATTCTTCCCTACTTTTTAATTACACGTTCTCCAAAAAATTACTATTGCAAAATCTATTTTCTCAAAAAATGGGGCTCAAACAAACCCTAAATTTTTTCTTTTATATACTATATGTTTACTTTTCTCTTTCATTATTTATTTTTGTTACTTTAAAGAAGCTCGTTTCGAAAGTGCAAATAGTCTAACGAGATGTTTTTTGTTTGGTTGGACATAAAAAAAATGAATGATGGATTTTTTATGACAGTCATATTTTGATATCCAGTTTAAATGTTGCATTCTTGATCGTATTAGTTGTTGAATCTTTGGATTGATTGTCGGCCTCGATTTTCTTCAGTATACGTGCTTTGGGGGAGTATCTTATGGAAGGGGATCCACAGCATAGACTGAGGAAATCAGTATCTGAAGTGGAACAACAACGCCCAGATGTTCTCAGTCAATGTCTAAATCTAGCTATTATTCACTATGAGAGGCTATTCGAGATATATCGCAAGGAGAAGGATCCATTCTTTGGCCCACTATAGCCTATCAAGTGTACTGCATCTGTTGTATGCTTTAACAGGTATCATGCCATATTACTTAAAAGAAGATTTTCACTTGCTGTCAACTTACTATAACCGTCCTTTTTCTGGGCTTCAAATTGCCATGTATTATTCATTCGCGATACTTCATTGAATTTTTGCTTTGCATGATTCTGAGCCAACTACTTCACTCTCCCTTCTGGATTAATATTTAGTATATTAATTATTTGCATTAACACTGTAAATACGTATTAATGATTGGTAAGTATTAGTTCCTAGATTGTTTTTTGATTCGAACCATGACACACATTAGTTTTAGTTGGCAAAATTCTAAGAATGACAGTTTGTTTGCTTTCTTTCTGAATTTAGTCTTATTTACATCCAAATCTTTTGTTGTCTTATTAACTGGTCGGTGATTATGCTAGCAAATATGATGATTAGATTCTTCATACTATTTGATCGAATTTGAAACTAATCAGTCGTTTAATATAATTTCTAGTTCGATCTCTTGGCGGTTTTTGTTCTTTCCATGGGAAGCAAATGAAAGATGTCTAAAACTAAGAGGTGAATCCTTTAGAGCTCCATTATACTGCTCGGTAGTTAACTTCAGTTCTGAATTTTGTTGAAGTCTAGGCATGGAAGATATATCTGTGCTTGTGGTTTCTGGGCTCTATCTTAGTGTAATGATTTGTCGATAAAAAATTTTCTTTTTTGGTATATTTTCATGTGAAGATTATCCCATGTTTTGGCAAATTCTTCTCTATTTTTGTGGGGTTTTGGAATTTTTTCTTATTGAATAAATTTTTCGATGTGCTTCGCTCTTTCTATCAATTATCACAATTTGCATGTCCATATTCTTCCGAGAAAACATCGTGTTTGACACGTGGGATCTCAATGTAATGGCTGCTCGACGCCACAGTCGAGATCGTACAAATGCACTCTCAAGGATACATTCTTCTCTTGTGCTCAAGTAAATCCTACATCAACTGATGCCAAATAGATGGCAATCTATTGAATGCATTGGAGATGCTCTTACTAGATAATTTCTTTGTGGAAAGAGGGGGGGGGGGGTGGCGGGGGGAGAATATCCTTGGTCAGTATAAAATGTGATGAAAGAATAAAAAACCTCCTGAATTTTAGAAAACTCAATTAAACCAAGTACACCTGATAGAGGAAAGATTGTGGTTGGATTTGGTTCTTCATATTTGAAGGATCAAACTCACTTTGTATTTGTAGAAGTAAAATAGTATTTTAAAATTTATTTTTAAACGTTGACTTTCAGAAGTAGAGAGCATAATGTATTTAGATTCTTCTGAAGATGTTTATATAATATAAATGTCAAAGTCAAACTTTAATTTTAACCATACATTTTCGTAATAGATATTTATTAGGTTCTAAATAATCTTACATAAAATTTGTCAACCTCGATTTCTAATTGGTAACGTAGTCAATAAATCTCGGCTCTACTTACATCAACGCGTAAAGTTTTTACACACTTGAATAAATCGTTTGAAGCACATGGCCTTCTTTAACGTTGAGAGAGGTGATTGCGAGCACTTCATAGATCAAGTCAGTCGACTTATGTGTATATTTGGGTATGGAATGAACGGAAGACATGAGCCATAAGGATGTGCATGAGCATTGCATGGAGGCGGTCGTGAACAATCCGACGATTTGTCCAATTGTGCAAGAATCTTATACGTGGATGTGAGTGAAATTAGAATCACGTTCCTGATCAGAAATCAAGGTCAACAAAATTATTAATTTATATCAATTTGGGAAGCTGGCCAAATTTTACTATTTATGCACAATTATTAATTTATTTGTTGAAGCTTTTCTATATGGCAGCAAATTTAAAATTTTGAAATAAGAAGCCGTTATCCACCGCATGACATGGCAGCAATTAGATCAGTGGTTGAGCAGAATATTCGGTCTACATAAAAAAAAAAAAAAAAATATCCAATTACCAAAAAAAAAAAAAAAAAAAAAAAATAGATACGTGTTTGCACCATTGGATTCTCTTAAAAGGATTTAGTGCCACGTCTGTTGGCGCCAATTTCATAATTCGCATACGTCTATATTATAATCAAACATTAATTGGGAAAAAATGATTTTTTAAAAATTATAAAAAAAAAATTGGTATACGTATAAAATATTTTATTACGTGGATGTGTATTTAAAAATGATCATATAGTAAACCATAAAATAAATTAATGAACGTCAAACATGCACTAAATTAATCACGACATGAAATCAAGTTGGTAAAAACAAAGATTTATATTGATTATAAGCCTCTACTTAGTGGAGATTAAAATCTTGATTTTATTCTAATTTAAAGCTAATAATTAATTTTAACAGCATATTTGATAAGATCCATAACTTTTAAATCAAACATTTTATCAACTTTTATCAGATTTTACTAAAATTCTAATTTTTAGGTATACCAAACGGGAATTATAAATATTAAAGAAAACAAGTTGAGCCAACTCGAATAGTTAGTTGGATGAGTTGATAAGCCGCTTGCTCCACTCTACGCTCTTAATATCGATCTTATTAATTTTTTTCCTAGAAACATTGACCACTATTGGTTAGAACGCCTTTTTAGTATTGTAGCTTGGAGTCAAAGAATCTTCATGGTTTGTACTATCAATTCGCTCTACTTAACATTCCTGCTCGAATAGTGCTATACTTGCAAAGGAAAATCATACAGAAACTTCACAAAATACACACAATAATAGGATCCATCTCAATAAATATTCACATGGGCGTGGCCCATGTGACTCCCCTGTAAAACCTCAATGCGAAAATGCTACATTTTCCTTCCTGCTGTCAACCCTATTAATTTTTTTTTCCCCACATTTTTAGAGTAATAACTTAAGAGCTGACCGAAGAATCTTCGTGCAATGCAAAGTGAAAGCCCAAGTTTACCACTGACTTAAAATATACGTTTAATTAGTGGCTGTAATTACACGATAATTAAAATATGGATAATTATTACTTTAATACTACAGTGTACGCAAAGATATTTTTGCCATTTCAGGTAAGTCCCATAAATATCTCTCTCCATGTGCTAGGATTTTTCAATTACGGACTCGCAGATTTCCCCAACTCTATTCTATATTCGCTTTTTTTATTCTTGACTCCTTTCTATGTCTCGCAATTCGGTGTTGGTAATCTTGAATTCCCGCATTAACTTCATTTTTTTTTTTTTTTTTAATGATTCTTACTTATTTTTGCTGCAGCAGTGGGAATTTATTTCAGGATTTCAGTTTTAGTTGGGAATTGGGGG